GCTTCTCTGCTGGGGCTCACACCAAGCCCCACGTTTGGCATTGGGCCTCGCCGCCTTGCTTTACCTGTAGCAGGTGACGGTTATTCTTGGTGTTTTGGGCACTGGCAATAGTGGGTGTGTGGGAGGCTGGCTTGTGCAGTGTTAAGGACAGGTCAGACGTAACTTGAGTGGGAAGGTTTAGTCAGGAATGACCCTGCCTTCAGCAGGGGTTAGATGAGATGGCCTCCTGAGGTCCCTTCCAGCTCCTCTTTCCTCTAAGAGAAAATGAAGGCTAATACACGATGCTGTTTAGAGGTGTCTGCCCTTTGGGAGCCTTGTATTACTACATACTCTCTATTGCTATACAGCATCTTCCGGGGACTTGCCTCCAAGCTGTTCTTCAGCGTATCTGTCTGCCTACCTGTGCACGCACGCCCATTCGTACAAGTGGAGTGCACGTTTTCTCCTTGCCTTACTCAATGGTTGAGGACAAGTGGTGGATATTATCCGGCTGAAAGCCCAGGGAAGAGTTTGGGAGGTGGACTGTACTCTGACTACTAAAATGCCAGTGTCGATTCACCTAAGAATGAAGGGCATGATGGGGCCCCTAATATTTAAAAGCTTTGTCTTGGTGTGAATCAGAGCAGCAGAGATTTTACCTAGAAATTATCATCCGCAGAGAAAGCACATCCAGTAATAAATCTACACAGCTCTTCCACATCACTTACCAGGATGCTTTTGTATACGGAGCCTTTGCTGTTCGGCATCAGGCTCCGAATGATACGGGCGTCTCCAAAGAGCTGCGGAGGAAAAAGTCAGAAACATGATGGAAGCGGTAGAGATGAAAGAGTAGAACCAGAAGCAAGTATTTTGGGGTCCACGCCTGGTCCTTGGACGTTGTTAGTGGTGGTGTCCTACCGACAGGAGTAACTCGGTTTGGTATTTCCAATGAAGTATTCATATGTAGTATTCCATCTACAACTAACACCCCTGAAACATGGACGGTATCGAGTGTTGCCGTGTGAAATGGGTGTTTGGTTGGTCTAATAAAAGACAGCACTTTTACCCACACACACACACACACACACGTATCATATATAGATGCTTAAGCTGACCACATGCTCTGAATCCTGGCTGAGGTTTTGCTGTACAGCAGAAAGCCACACTTACTTCTCGAGGACTGTTCTGGACTCTGGGAAATCCTGCCTGCTATCTCCTGAGCCATTCCAGGTCTCCTCGTTTCCATGCCTACATATCAAAATGGATATTTTAGATTATTATTAAAAAAACAGTCTATGTCACAATGAAAAATCAAGATTTCTCTATTCAAACTATCTTAGAGAAAGAAGATGAAGAATGTCATTCTCTTTACTCCCCCTCATAATGTCATCCATCTAACATTTTATATCCCGTTCACGATGCTGGGGAGAGTACCAATTGGTGGGACTGAATTCAAGCCTAAGCAGTCTTGCCCAGCCTGCGCACTTCAGTCTGCGACGCGACGGGCCACGTGCTCGAGCGCTGCCCATACTAGTACCAAGGCTTTGCGCTTGGAGGGAACATTTCATCTGAGACTGTCAAAGGACTTGGCAAACAGCAGCTATGTCTCACCAATCTCGCAAGGCAGCTCAAATATTCTCATTGTCCCTATTTCACAGATGGAGGAACTGAGAATGAAGAGCACCTGGTTCATCTCGTCTGGCTCAACCAGGCTTTTCGCTGGCAACCAAAGCTGGTGTGCTGTCCCTCCACGACAGCAGAGCTGGAGGATATTGTGGCGCAGGGGGAGGAAGGGGCGATGCTTTGCGCCTTTAGTCCTGTGAAATCCCTGCCCTGTCCAGCAGAGCCCGATTCATGGAGCAAAGAGTTATGCAGAGTGATAGCCCGGGTTGTTAGACATACATGCATATCATTTAGCTTCTTAATTATGCCTTCTTCAATGCTATTTGAGATTGTTTCCTGCAATGTCCCACAAATAAAGGCCTTTACAGCTTCCACCACAGCTCTGGGCTCTTACCTGCGGAGGAGCACTTCTAGGACCTCGCCTGGAGAAGCCAAGGCCCTGTATCCACAGAAAAAGCTGTTGATATTTATGAAATCCTGCAGCAGGTTTTCAATACAGTTTTACATGGCCTGTGAAACAAAAGATCAAAGTCATTACGACATGAGCAAAACCTGTGCTACCACCTGAAACAGCCTCATCACCATCCAAGCCTGGTGCTTGCATGTACATAACCCCGGACCTGGAAAATTATTTCACATCAGAAAGGAGGATCTGTGCTAAGCCGTGCACCTGACCCTCTACCGCAGGAGGACGTCTCGAGATCACCGCTAGTAGTGGTCTCTCGCAGCCGTCCTCTGCACCGCAGGCACCAAGGAGGTGGGTCCTTTGAACCTATGGTGTTGGCTCTGCAGCAAAATGCCAATGAGTTGTGACCACAGGAAGCACCCCATTTTGCACCCAAGCTTGGAGCTACGGAAACGAATGCCAAAAGTCTCGGTTAAGAAAGAAAGCATCCTTGGCAGCTGCCTCCTCAGTAATGATCAAGCTCAGCACTTTGCATTCAAAATGGGGTTGAAACCCTCCTCCGCAGGATGTCTCCAAATACCACCGGTTTGTGACCGCTGACACAAACAGGACCGTCGTGGGGGACGGCCAAATTCTGGATGGGTAAGGACAGCCACCCTGGCACTAGCTCAATTTGCCAGTTGGTGGCGATCTTGAAAGAGTAATTGGTTTTCTTAGCAGTGAGGCTACAAATGGGCATTGTTCGTTTGGAAAGGGTTCTTCACAAGGCAGGATAGATCTAGGATTTTTAAATGGAGAGGTCCCAGATTGGGCCCTCGGGCTCCAGACAGGGGTACAAGGCAGAAGTTTTGCGCCCGAGGCAGAGAAGGGCGGGTTGGTTGTGCGTGCAGGGGGCCGAGTGTTGGATGGTCTTACCTGCTCTTGGCGGCTGCTGGTGCTCCTGGAGCTGGCTCCCTGCTCCAGGCCTGCCTCCTGCTGCTGCTACTGCCCGCGTGCCGCCTGCCCAGGGCCTGAGGCTGCTCCTGGAGCGGGCTCCTCGTGCCCTTCCTGCCTGCTCGCTTGGGGCCTCGGCTGCCGAGTGCGGCAGCACTTGAGGAAGGATGGCAGAGGGATACATCCACACCCTTCCTCCTGATCTGGCCTGTGAATGAGTTCGAAAGGTGGTTAATTCTCAGTGACTACTTCTAGGGTGCAAGGAGCCAAGGTGATTGGGTGCTAAGCACATCTCTACCTTTTAAAATCAAACAGGAATAAATCAGAGAGACACAAAGACAAAAATAGTTCAACGTGCATTGTGCCATTTCTTTGTACACCTAAAGCTTGTCCCGATGAGCGTGCACATGCAATTTGTGGCACCTCCAACCCATTTCAGGCCCCACACACCACCCGTGGTGCACATGCACCCATTTGCCATGCTGCGGATTTACAGTGTGGTGCCAAAATTTGACACTCAGAGATCCTGGTGTCAAAATACAAAAGAAAAAATTGGCACAGTGCCCGTGGCAACAGTGCGTGCTTCCAGAACCAGAGCCTGGCTGGGCAGAGCTATGTTTTGGCTACCGGGCAGGCTCCGAGCCGTGGGCTTGCTGCCACTGCTGCCCAGGGAGGCCCCACGTGAAGTTGCTGGGGCCAGAACGGGTGCTGACCCCAGCCTCCCACCCCCACCCAAGACAAAATGCCCTGCACCAGCCCCATGCGCGAGGGCGTGCACTGCAGCATAAAGCAAATTTGTGCCATTGCTAGTTTTGCTGCATGTGGCACACGCTTGTAATGATTGTGCCCTGCTTTTATATCCATGCATCCTCATTCGTTCTGAAAGACTGCAAAATACTTCCCAAATTATAGACAGGACATGCCACTGTCCTTCGGCCAGCCACTGCAGATACACAGACACGTAGCACACGTGATACCAACAGCTTGGGGGAGAAAAGGGAGGGGTGTGCTATTTTGGCCAAGGGTAACAGAGTGGCATAGGATCTGTAATATCAGTGACAAGCAGACAGCTGCTTATTTTTAAGGGACAGCTCAAACACCCGCACACCATGGTGGGTTTATTGGTGTAAATATATCAGTGCTACAAAGAAGGTGTTAGGGCAAGTGAATCTGTGCGAGTGTGTGTGCTGTGAGCGAGGTGACGTTTGAGGACTGTGGAAGATGGTACAACCTGGCACAGAAAAACAGACGGGAATGTGGAAAACAACACGTCATTGGTGACAGAAGACGCGATGAACACATGCGAAAAGGCAAATGGTGAAGCTTCCAGTTTTGCTGAAATCCGCCCAGCGACCGAAGTAGGCAAGTCAAGGGCTTAGGCGTGCGCTTTCAGCAGAAAGGCATGGAAAGGAAGGAAATGCAGAGGCGATTCCATGGGAATGCAGCAACCAGGAAAGAGAGGAGGAGCTCGAGATGGGAGGAGAAATGGGTGGAACATAGGAGAGGCGAGGGGCGAACGAGTGTTAATGCACAGTATAAAGCACAGTGTATAAATATGGAAAAACAATATTGTGCCTGTGGCTCCCCATTTTTTGGGGTTTTGGGGAGCTAGTCCGAAGCTGTCTCCATGCTGAATAAAGCTGCTGCGCGCAATGTGTGACGATGTTTGCGCCCTGCTTGCTTTGGCTAACGAGTCACAGGATTCACGAGCAATTGCATCGTCACCTCCCTAGTCGTTGGGCGCCGCATGGCGTGAGGGTCTAACAGAAGGGTTCGCTGGACTCCTCACATTTAGGGGTGACCGTCCAAGAAGAGCACACACCAACTGCTGAGATTTCCTTAGCCTGCCAAAGGGTTTTTGAACCTGAAAGCTTGCTTAATAACTATTCTCCAACTATTTGGGTTGGTCTAATACAAGATATCAGATTCACCCAAAGAACCTTGTCTGACTAAACATATAACATTGCTGTACTTTAAGAAATACCATAAACATCAAAAACACGATAACTATATATATA